AACTTGCACTCCTTGATATGGTAAGTTTTAATTGGTCAAAAGATGAGGAAAAAAACAAGGAAAAGAAAAAGAAAAGAAAACAATTAAAACTTGTCACACCCCGGGAGTAGGGATGTCAATTTCAATCCGACCCGTGGATATCCACCCCGCATGGATCAATTTTTTTGGGTGATGGTGGGTGGTGGGTCTTAAAAAAGAAAACCCGCGGGGGGTCGGGTTGGATTCGGGTTCTATGTACAAGACCCGCCTAGAACCTCACCCGACCCACCATGTGTGTGTGTATATATATATAATAGTAAAATAAGTACTAGTATGTAGTTATTTATAATAGTTTATATAACTTCGTGTATCTTTTTACTATTTTTTATATCAAAGCTACTAAATTTATTTTTAAAAATTAACAATTTAGTTATTATATTTAAATATTTCCATTATTTATGTTTTAGTATCACTAATGGAATTTATTTTTTTATTATGTGTAAATAATTTAAATATTATTTTTTGAAAAACATAATAAAATGATAAGTGGTGGGTATCCGTAGTGGGCACCCGCACCCGGTGGGGGTGGGGGTGGGTTCTGAAAAAGTCCACCCGATGCGGGTTGGAGGTGGGGGTGGGTGGAGAAAATATAAGGTGGGTCGGGTGATGGATGTAGCCCTCCCCGACCCACACCCGACCCATTGCCATCCCTACCTGGGAGTGACAAATTTGTGAGTGGTAAATGTAGGGGCACTAAGAATTTTTCATTATTTAATTTTTTAAAAAAATTATATGGCATTTTTATTATTTTTTAAATTTTTGTTTTAATTTTTTTCTTATTACAAAAAAAAAAAATTAAATATGTAACATAATTTTCATAATTTTTTTTATGTAATATATACTTTTAATAATATATTTTAATTAAAATTTTATACTCCATCTATCTTATTTTGCTTGTCCTGTTTATTATTCATTGGGCAAACCAACTCTTTTTTCATTGGTTATTTTCTTTAATAAATTTAATTATTTTTAAATTTGACTTTTTGTATCTAATAGTACTTTTAATGTAGTCTCTAAATATATAAATTTTGTATAATAATACTAAACTTAATATTATGAAAAATTAAATTTTAAAAATAGTAGTCAAGCCTCATTAGTCGAAAGATTTAATTATAATTATACTTTAAAATGATTAAAATAATTAAAATATAGTTGATGATATAGGTTAGTGGGTCTATAAAATTTTTTGAAAGAACTTAAAAGGTTAGAAATAAAGGATTTTGAGATTGAGTGAGATACTATGATGCTCGGCAGTAACCTAGGTTACATTTCAATTATCTAATTCTTTTCATTTTTTATTTTCTAAATTAAAGAAATTAAGTAAATATATTTTATTTTTTCTCTTTCTCCATTTTTTAAATTTTTAAAAAATTAAGAATTGTTTGGTTAGTAATCGTACTCTTACTCTGGTAGCATTTTCTTAATACAATTACATATTTGGTAAAAGTGAGCAAGAATATGCCAAATCTGCTCTAATTTGCTAAATCCGTCCCGATCCAAACCGTATTCACTTAAAGTGGATGGGATATGGATCCACTTAGTGAAAATCTGTCACTAGTGGATTGAATATAGATATGACTTCTAAAAAATCCGCTATATCCAATCCGCTCCGCTAATTCTTTACCAAAAAAGCATAGTTTTATACTTATATATATATATATATATATATATATATATATATATATATATATATATATATAGGGATGCATTCAGGTGCGAATAAGTGCCCAAAAAGGAATATGCGAACGGATCAGCGCGCGACATGTGTCCAGATCTAATAACTTAAAAAAAAATGCGGTGGCATTTTCGTAAATAATTGAACATCGAAGTGCAAGTAAAATCACTTTCAAGTGCACCTATGTTGAACTCTAAAGTGAAGTGTGTATATATATTGAGATAAAGAACGCAGTCACTTGAATACAGAGAAAGCCTATGCTTATATACAAGCCAATGGGAAACTCCTAACCACTTATTTCAAATTTCAAATGGGTAGTTAGGAGAACTCTTCTAACAACCTACTAACACTCCCCCTCAAGTTGGAGCATAGATATCAAACATGCCCAACTTGTTACATATATATGAAACCCGATTCTTACACAACCCTTTCGTGAATATGTCAGCCAGTTGATCACCGCTCCGAACGTGTGTAAGTGATATTAGTCCTTGCTCCACTTTTTCCCGTATAAAATGGCAGTCAACTTCAATATGCTTCGTCCGCTCGTGAAAGACCGGATTATTTGCGATGTGTATGGCAGCACAGTTATCACACCACAAATCTATCGGTAACTTCACTTCAACACCCACTTCTTTTAGAATGTTACGCACCCAGACTATTTCGCTTGCCACATGAGCCATAGCTCGGTATTCCGATTCAGCACTTGAGCGCGACACCACATTCTGCTTCTTACTCTTCCACGAGACCAAGTTGCCTCCTACAAACACACAATAACCTGTCATAGACTTCCTGTCACTTGGTGAACCAGCCCAGTCTGCATCGGAGAACGCCTCAACACGCATATACCCGTGGTCAGCATAAAGAATCCCTTTTCCAGGAGCACCTTTCAAATATTTCACAATCCGAACCGCCGCTTCCCAGTGAGTCTGGGTCGGTGCACTCATGAATTGACTAACCACACTCACTGGAAATGCAATATCTGGACGCGTAATTGTGAGATAATTCAGTTTTCCCACTAACCTCATGTACCTCTCCGGATCTTCAAACGGCTCCCCTTCTCCTGCCAATAACTTCACACCCTGATCCATGGGCGTATCACACGGTTTTGACCCAAGCAGCCCCGTGTCCCCGAGCAAGTCCAACACATATTTCCTCTGTGAGAGAAATATGCCCTTCTTAGAGCGTGTAACTTCAATTCCCAGAAAGTACTTCAACACTCCCAGATCTTTAGTATGAAACTTAGACCCGAGAAAGGACTTGAGTGCCTCGATCTCACTTGTATCACTGCCTGTAATTACAATATCATCTACATATACTATCAACAAAACACACCCATAGTTAGTATGTTTGTAAAAGACAGTATGATCATATGCACTTCTCTGCATTCCAAACTCAAAAATCGCCTTGCTAAACCGCCCAAACCACGCACGCGGAGACTGCTTCAGCCCATATAACGACATCTTCAGCTTGCACTTTGATGTTCAATTATTTACGAAAATGCCACTGCGCTTTTTAAAAAAAATCAGTGTTTCTCATCCATTAGATCTGGACACGTGGACGGACAGAATTCATTCCTATTTTGCGCCTGTTTATAACTATAGGTGCACCTACTTTCACCTATAAGTGCATGTAATTTTGCCTAGTTAACATTCATTGATCTGAGTTCAGCGGGTAGTAATACCTTTGAAAACCACCCGCAAACATTCATGCACCTAGGTGCAACTACTTATAACTATTTGTGCAACTACTTAGAACTATAGGTGCAACTACTTATAACTATAGGTGCACTTAGTATTGATGCTCAGTGTAAATTTTTACTTGCACCTATAATACATTTTACATGCACTTGTAATACATTTTACTTGCACTTTGATGTTCAATTATTTACGAAAATGCCACCGCGCTTTTTTAAAAAAATCAGTGTTTCTCATCCATTAGATCTGGACACGTGGACGGACAGAATTCATTCCTATTTCGCGGCTAGGCGAAGCATTCGCGCCTGAGTGCGATTATATATATATATATATATATATATATATATATATATATATATATATATATATATATATATATATATATTATAGATTTATAGAAATATCTTAAACAATCAATGAATTTGAAAACCTTGGACTTTTATGGACTTTTCTAATAAAGATTAGGAAATATTTTCATCTTGTGTTATAATAAGAAATTGGTTTCTAATTTGCTTGGATGAACAAATTGAAAATTGAAAAGAATCAAAAGTCTAGAAGTTTAGGAAGGTTAAAAATAAAAATTGGAAAATTATTTTGATTTTTTAATGTTTGAAATTTTTTATTATAAATTATTTTATTTTTTAAACTTAAAATCTGTCATTCGATCTGTATCTAATCTGCTAAATGCACTATTGGATCATATTTGGATCCACACCCTTTGCGGATGCGGATAAATTTTTCAAATCCACCTTTTGTGAATTGGATGTGGATTCTTCTCAAATCCGCTCCATGCTCACCCATATATATAACTTATATAAAAAAAACAATAAGAAAACAAAAGTTAATTTTACTAATTACAGGGTACAATTATGATATAATGACTTATGGAACAACTTTTTTTTTTAGGGGGAATTGTGGTACAACTTCTCATTAAATGACATGCATTTTCTCATTACATTGAAAATATTCGGAAAATTCCAAAAGAATTGGACAGATGGATACTAGTAGCAATAGACGTGTTTGACCAATCTTGAAATGAAAGACAAAGAAAATCATATTCCACACGCTTTAAACAGTATTTAGATTTTAGCCCCCACACGCCAAAATTATATACTTTTCGTCCCTTGAATTTTCTTCACTTCCATCAATGATCAATGTGAATGGTTCCCCATTTTTTTGGAATATACATTTGACAGAAATATGGATTGAATTCAACATTTTTTTTTATATAGTTTTATTTTCTCTTCACAAATTTAAGTTGGTGAAATCTTTTATCTATTTTTGAAAAATTTACCGTGTTAATTGATACAGATTTCTTGTGCATTGAAAACCATCCAAAAGGTTCTCGAGGTTGTATCAAATGTAATATAAACATTATGAGGACAATACACCAATTTCACTTCATATAAATTTAACCTTAAATTTTTGTTACATTCACGTTTGGTTGTATGCGTAATTGGCATCTTAAAATTTTTCTTAAATATATATTACTAAATGGTAAGTTATTTAGTAGATTGTATATGTAGTTTTGTTGAACATATATAATATATAAAACATAAATGTGTAGTCAAACTGTAAGTTTACACTTTTATTTGAGATGGAACTTGTCATTTAATTTGGTATTAGACTTAGGTGTATGCGGAATAGGTCATGTGTTACTTGAAAAGGAGATATTATGGTCGAAATGCTGCTTGGTTCCTACCAAATATATAGTAATCGACCTGCACATGTGGGGCATGTTGAACATATAATAATATAAATATGTAATTGAATTGTGAGCTAAGATTTTTAATTGAAATAGAATACATCATTCAACTCATTTAAACATATTATGGTACATAATATAATTCAAATTCAATAAAAAAAAATAATAATACTAGCCGCCTCTCTTTCTTTCTCTCTCTCTATCTATTTTTTTTAAAAAATAAGTTTTAACTTAATGATGTAGTTGTGATAAACATTACTTTAATAATTATTCGTTAAAAAACATCACTGCAAAAAATGATTATATTTCTTCCCTCTAAATAATAGAAAGTTCTCACGACCAAAAAAAAAAAAAAAAAAAAAAAAAACTAATCTGGAAAAGATTTGAATTACACACTAAATTGAAAGATGCTACGAAGTAGTTGTTTAAACTTTTTCTATTAAACTCTATTTTAAAATTATATGACTAGTAAGTGTTAACGTGTTATATCACACTATTTGTTTATAAATTGACGAATCACAATAAATATGAATAAAGTAAAATTACTTCGTTTAAGATAGAATTTAATATAATAATTGAAACGACTAATATCCTGAAAATTATATAATAGGTAACAAGCAGGACTTAGCTTTCTAAAAACAAAAAAGTTATGCTTTGTGTTGTTATCTCATTATCTAAAGATTCTTCTTATCAACTTTGGGAGAAGAGAAGAGATAATTAGAAGGGGAAAGAAAAGAGTCAGCTCTTTGTGCTTGTCATCGACCATGCACTGCTTTCGTGGTTTCATTGACAACATACATATAACTGAATGCCAAAATTATTAATTTGTTGACTTATTATTAATGGAATCATTTACTCTATCTATAATGCATACTTATATGGAATACTAATCTATTTTGATAAAAAAAAAAAAAAAGATGAAATTCCTAATTTAAGGGCGCCATACCCCGTTCCAACATAATCGTAGAGGTGAATTCTACTTGTTTTACTTCATTTTTTTAATCTTATGAATTTTAATTATTAATTGTTTGACCATGTCAAAAAAACTATAATGGAGATTTTGTAAATATTTTTTTAGATAAGTTTTTTTTTTTTTTTTTAAACTTAAAAAGTTTAATTTTAAAAAGCTTCTAACAATCGTGTTTTACTTTGGTGTTTGGATAAAAAAATTCTCAAACTTTTAGTGCCCTAACTTCTATTCTCAACCTGTATCATTCCTTTTAATTTCTTATTTATTTATTTATTTTTCACTTTAACCCACATAATTTTATGTTAAAAATTTTAATTTACTTATTTGATGAAAATATTGAGAAAATAATATCTTTTTTATTAAATGTTATTCATTATTAAATTTGTTTAATAAAATGAGTAAAAGGCTAAACAAAATGAAGTCCATTTCCATTGACATTACATGACATGTTGCAGGATTGGGTGATATGGAACATCTCTACCACCTAGACATTACATGAGGACTTTCAAAATTTTATTTTTCTTCTCCCGTATATTGCCTATTAAACCAATGAGCTAAGCCCGTGCGGGTAAAACATTAATTTTTCAATAGGTTGTTGGATGATATAGTGCTTGCACATTAAGAAAATTCATGGCAAGGGGAGGAGATTTGGGTTCTAGGTTTGGTTGGCCTGATAGGAATCCATGAGTATAGAGATGGGTGTGATAGTTAGAGACATATGGGGTGGTTGGCGTGGATGAGGGAGATGAGCGGATGGTGGTTTGGGCAAGAAACTAAATAGGTGAAGGTGGAAGAAGGGAGAAAGGAGAAAGGTAGGAGTCCTAGGGTTGCATTATTGGGTTCTTGAGATATGGGCTCGGCTTGTTGGGGTTGTCCTATTTTAAATATATTTTAGGATCTAGAGGAGGGTTATGTTGTGGGCTATACTTCCTCTAACTATTATCCAATGCTCAGAAGAAAGGGGGAGGGGGCGGGGGTGGGGGGGGGGGGGGGGGGGACTTATGATGGGGATATTGGGATTGGGCTTTGGCCCACTGGTATGGTATGGTATGAGGTGGCTTGCGGAGGAGGTCCAGAAGGGGTGGCCGACCACCGCAGACTACCAATCGCGGGTGCCGAGTGGCACGACGGCTTTCGACGAATTAGGTGCCCTGGAGCCACCGGGTGTGCCATGGCGTGCCCCGCTTGCATGGCGAGGCGCCCGCACTCGGGGCATGACGGAAATGCCACTCGCTATTGGCGCGGGCTCGGCGGGTACCGCCAGTCGAGGCATGTTGGTAGCCTGGCGTGGCGCTCCGATTATGAACATGGGTGGTCGTAAAGTGTGGCGCATGGGTCGTGACCAAGGGTGTTGGGCAACGTGCGAGACGTGGTTGGTGGAGGCTGACTTCCATGGATGGCGTACACGTGGACGATGCTTGTGAGGTGTGTGGCAATATAAATAGAGGGAGGATGGTCTACTTAAAAAATGGCACTGAACATGAGATCCCTTCTTATCGGTTGGTTTCGTTTGGGGCGGTAGCCTATGGCTTGTCTACATTCTCCATTCCCCTGGGCCCAGTGCTTCAGGGCGAATTATCATACTGTATACCCGATTTATGGTGAACCGGATCCTAATAAAACTATTGTTGGGAGCATGGATATCAAGGGCGAATTATCGTACTGTATACCCGATTTATGGTGAACCCGGTCATAATAAAACCGCTTGAATTATCGTACTGTATACCCGATTTATGGTGAACCGGGTCCTAATAAAACCATTGTTGGGAGCATGGATATCAAGGGCCCTAATAAAACCATTGTTGGGAGCATGGATATCAAGGGCGAATTATTGTACTGTATACCCGATTTATAGTAACCCGGTCATAATAAAACCATTTTTGGGAGCATGTATATCAAAATATTGAGCTGGAAAGTATTTCATAGGTTGTCGTTAAACTCAACAGATTCCTATTATCCATGTTCTCGGTGTGATAAAAAGCGTGCGTATGAGGGGTTATATTAACAATATACTTTTGGTATCATAATGTTGAATTGGGAAGTAATTCACAGACTGTCACACATCTCACTAGATCCCTCATATCCATGTTCTCGAGGAGATAAAAAAAAAACGTGAGTAGGAGGAATTAACAATACACTTTTGGTATCAAAATATTGAATTGGAAAGTAATTCACATATTGTCGTCCAACTCACCAGATCTCTCATATCCATGTTCTTGATGCGATATAAAATGTGAGTTGGATGTATCAACAATATACTTTTGGTATCAAAATATTGAACTGGAAAGTAATTCACCTATTGTCGTCCAGCTCATCTGATCCCTCATATCCATGTTCTTTAGACTATAAAAACGTGAATAGGATGAATGACAAAATACTTTTGGTATCAGAATATTGAACTATAAAGTACTTCACAGGTTGTCCTCCAGTTAATCAGAACCCTCATATTCACGTTCTTGAAGCGATAAAAAAAAAGAGAGTACGAAACCAGGATTGACAGCGTAGTTCTAGCAACAACATAGAAAGACAAATACATGTGTTTGGATAACAAATTTCTACAATCATAATTTTTGTGTAATTTCTTACTTTCCTACTTTCCTACAATCATAATGTGCGTGAATGTGTAAAATGCAGCAGAAAATATTGATATCAGCTTTTTCCCCATCCCCAGTAGCCATTTGCCCCCTCCCTGATGATGATGATGATGATGCAGAGGCGAGCTATGGTGGTTAAAAATTATGGGAATAATACAACAGAAATCCACAATTAGCTGCTGTGCAAATTTTACTGTGCGTGCGTCATTTATATAAACATTCAACTGTACTGAAGGTAGCTGATAATCCAAAATCCATGGCCAAATTGAAGGAAAAAGTAACAAGAAGCTTGGACGTTAATGTGCGTGAGCTTATGTTCTGCTTCCTTCTGAGCTCGTAATTATGAAATACGCACGCACATTAAGCACAAATCTCACGCACATTAAACACAATACTCAGACACATTAAGTACAAATCTCAAACACATTGAGTACAAATCTCACGCACATTAAGTATAAACCTCACGCACATTAATATATATATATATATATATATATATATATATATATATATATATATATATATATATATATATATAAAATTCATAACCCTACACACATCTAATAAAATTACATTTATATAATGAAAAAAAAAAAGAAAAGCTAGCAACTCCATATAGATGGGATTATCGATGTTTAAATTTTTTTTTTTTTTTTGAATGAACATACTTTATCAATTTATTGAAATACAAAGAGTCCATCAGAGCACAAGGTGCTTGGCCGATGTTTTAATAAATTATTTTGCTGTAATTTTCAAAATTCTAGTGCGCCTTACCCCATAGAGTTATCTGTTGAAATATTTTGTTCCACCAATTATTTCAGAAAAAGACCCTTCTACTACAGCATGCATCCTGTCTTGTTCTCAACATTATCCTAAACCCAAAAACCACCCTTATCTAACCTTAATTTGCCTTATCCTTAAAAGCGTACTAACGGATAAAATGAAATTCCTGCTTACACTCGCCAACACTTTGCCCAAACCCTATTAATTATTCTTCCAAACCCTATTAATTATTAATTATATATATCTTATGGTAATACTTATTTAAATTTTAAATGCACGTTTCCTTATTATTTATATGAAAATATTGTCCTTATGAGTAGCTCAGTTAGTTTTTGTGTGAGAGAATATGAGTAAGGGTAAGATATGAAAATATTATGAATATAAACACTATTATTTGTATTTTTTTGACAAATATAACATGATATAGTTTGTATTTAAAATAATAAAGAATAGTTGTCCAAGTGAAATTAATCTATTTCAGTTTTAAATAAGGTGTCAAATTTAAACTTTTTGAATTGAATAACAAATGTCTAGAGAACTTTTTAAATAAAATTCAGTCATTTAATTGTAGAAAGAATAAATGAACAAAAAATGTTTGCATGACCAATTCAATTCTTGGATGATAGATTCTGGATAAAAGCATGAGACCTAACCTGACAGTTGTAGTGCGCGAGTTTCTCTTAATGTGGTGGATTCCGTATAGACACTAAACATTGGTTCTCCCACTAAGTGATGAGTTGCTAAGTTATTGTGATTTATCCATTCACTATCTTGTCAGGTTAGGGTTTGGGGGTCCAAAAATTTTTACTTTTGTGGATAAATAAATAAACAAAAAATGTTCCGAAATAAATGTTTTCTCCCATAGTGACTCAATAGGCTAGTAGGCAGGGCCAAATGTCAGCACACTGCCGCCGCCGAGATTCGAACCTTGGTCTCTTTTTTCAAATATTGCCCACTAAACCATTGAGATAAGCCCGTGCGGGTACAAAGTGATATATTTCTAATAATCTTTTTGAGGTCGTTTGACATAATTTCTTACTCTCTGTCTCATTTTATCTGTCCTATTTACTATTCATTGGTCAAATCAATTTTTTCTTCTTTGTTTATTTTTTTTTGTATTTTTTACTTATTTTTAAATTTAATTTTTTGTGTTTAATACTACGTAGTACTTTTAGTGTAGTTTCTAAATATATAAATTTTGTATACTAATACTAAACTTAATAGTATAAAAAATTAGATTAAAAATAACTCCAGTCCAACCTCGTTAACCTAACCAGACACATAAAATGAGATGGATGAAATATTATTTTGTGTTAGGGATTCATTGATTTTTTTTTTAAAGCTTAAATAATTGTAATGCACATCATATATCGTGTCATTAGATAAAATATTTGGTAAAAAAAAATCAATTTGCAATTTAATATGCATAGCATTATCCCAATAGAAATGAAAAAAATGTTTGGCGTTCCGTTTACACCACATATCTTCCCCGACACCAAATCATCCCTCTCTTTATCTCTTCACCTATATTTAATTTTTAACGTAGTAAGTCATTTCCGTGTTCCGCCTTCTCTCTCTCTTTCTCTCTCTCTATATCTATATATCTATATCTATAATATATCCATACAGCCTTGCTTCGTTTATAGCGCAAAGGCACTTCAATCCAAAAACTGCCCTCCCGGAAGCCCAAACCCCTTTTTGCTGTCTGTTTCGGATCATGTGAGAACAGAGCAGCTGAAATCTGTGTGTTGTCGGGTCACAAATCAGTGTTGGATCTTCTCGCCCGGTAATCTGATCCGATCCGGTTTTGCGGTGGATTCTCTCCATGACGCGGCGGTGCTCGCATTGCAGCAACAACGGCCACAACTCGCGGACTTGCCCCAACCGCGGGGTCAAGCTCTTCGGGGTTCGATTGACGGATGGGTCGATCCGGAAGAGTGCGAGTATGGGTAACTTGACCCACTATGCCGCCGGTAACGGCGGCGCCGGCTCCACTACTCCCCACAATGGTATCGCCCATGATTCCCCCGGGGATACGCCGGATCATCCCGCCGCCGCCGCCGCCGCTGATGGCTATGCCTCCGAGGACTTCGTTCCTGGATCCTCCTCCAGTCGCGAAAGAAAGAAAGGTTAACTATTTTTTGTTTCTCTCTTTATTTTTTCTGACTTGTCATTCTATGTTCAAATATTCATGCCAAAATTTAGTGTTTTTGTATGTATCAATCGGTGGTTTAATCGTGAAATTGATAGGAGTAAGCTATGATACATGTTGGATTGGCAGATATCTAATAAATATGCCTTTTTTTTTTGGTTTTATGGATTAGATGGGGGGTTGTTTATGTTGTTGCTTTGACAAAAATGGTTCCTTTAAGGATGCTTAGAAGCTTGGATTGGAGGATTCACAAAATAAATAAATGCATAATTACTGCAGTTAACTACAAATAGCTTTTCTTGGCCTCATAATCAGTGAAAGTTATTGATTGTTCTGTTGTGATTACTTTTTTGAAGTATTCTGGCTTCTTGAAGTTCCATTCTTATATCCAATCTTTTGCAAACCTCATCTCTCGGTAACAGGCAACACTATTTGTTTATAAAAAGAAATGGAAAATTTGGTTGAGGAGAAGGTTTGCCTTACTGCTACTTTTGCTATTTGGGTGTTCGATATGGATGACAAATGGTTCTTCTGTAAGATGATCTCAAGCATATATACCCATTAGCAATTTGCAGATTCGCTCTTCAACGCTTATGCAAAGCTTGAGGTTAATAACTATTAATGGTTTTGGGCAAGGAAATGGTTTGCTGGATGTTTTATTGCCCAATTTTGTTCTTTTCTTTACCCCTAATTTGTAATGTCTTTGTCGTTTGTTGTATGTCAATTAAAAGAGAGTGAAAATGAGGAAAATAAACTTTGGGGGTTCAACTATTGAGAAATGGATAGAAGCTTTAATGTAAAGAAATGTAAAGAAGATTATTTATCAACACCCTAGGAAATATCCGATATCTTCTCTTCTCTGCATTTCACGGGCCTATCTGAATTGCTTTAGTGGCACTGTAATCTGTGGGCACTACTAGTATTATGATTTGGGTATGCTTGAATGAGACATCACTTTTCACTATAGTTTGAAATAGAGTTTTTGTTAAAAGAAATGGCTTTCTTCATGTCTAAGTTTTTGTCTCCTTGCCTGGTTCTATTTTGGAGCATCACTGCAGCCTTATAAAATGCCCAAATATCTTTCTTGTTTATTGTTTGTAGGTTAATTTGCGTGCTTTATGTGCTAATGAATGCTGTCTCTTTCCATTGCAGGTGTTCCATGGACCGAAGAGGAACATAGGATGTTTCTTCTTGGTCTACAAAAGCTTGGAAAAGGTGATTGGCGTGGAATTGCTCGCAATTATGTGGTTTCAAGAACACCTACTCAAGTTGCAAGCCACGCTCAAAAATATTTTATCAGGCAAAGTAATGTATCGAGGCGTAAAAGGCGCTCCAGCCTATTTGATATTGTTGCAGATGAAGTAAGAAAAGATTTTCCTCTATTTATTCTCTACTTAAACATGCACTTAGTTCTTCCCGTCTTCTTTTGTAGATAGATGTAGGCAATATTGCATTTTCTTTGACAAGAAGTTGGTGTTTCTTATTGGTTTTTCATCGATTTTTGCAGCCAGTTGACACTCCAATGGAATCTCAAGATTTCCTTTCGACCAATCATCTTGAGGCCGAGCCACAGAGCAATAATAATGCGTTGCCACCTCCTCCTAATCTGGACGAAGAATGTGAATCTATGGGTTCTGCTGCTGCTGCCAACTCCAATGATGGAGAACCCATGCAGCATCCAAATCCCGAGACCTCCCAATACTCTTATCCCGTTGTATATCCAGCTGCTGCTGCTGCTTATGTGACTCCGATCTATCCATTGCCCATTCCATATTGGGCAGGGTACTGTCCCGAGCCAGCCAAAGCAGAGAAGCACGAGGTGTTTAAGCCAACAGCCGTCCATACAAAGAGTCCCATTAACGTCGATGAATTAGTTGGTATGTCGAAGTTAAGCTTAGGGGAATCGCTCGGTGATGTGAAGCCATCTGTGTCTCTGAAGCTAGTCGAAGGGTCAACAAGGCAGTCAGCCTTCCATGCTAAACCGGCCGCCACCTCTGGTAATTCCAGCCACAACCCAATCCACGCGGTCTAGCTCAAATATGAGCTGTGTTTCCTGTTAATACGAGATAATAGTGTGTTGCTTGGTTAATGGTTTTTGGTTAGTGATAACTTTATTTGTTGGAATAATCTTTTGTCTAGCTAGCTGGGTTTTAGGAAATCTTTTAACTGCAGTGTCACTGCTTGTAGCTTGCAGCAGACAGATACTTTTCTTTAAATTATTTGAATTTGACATTTTGATGTCAAGTTCTGAATTACTTTTCCGCTTTACCATTTTTCCTTCCAACGCATTGGGCTCTCTTTCTGCTCACCTGCATACTATTACTATTTATTAGCTTATGAGTTATGCCCATGTTTGAGAAATACAAGTCTTGTGGTGGGTGGTGGGTGGGGGGTGGTGTTCAAAATTTCAACTGAGGTATAATATGGTCCACCTTTTTTCGAGTGATAAGGGAAACTCGTCATGTGTGCAATACAGCAATAGGTAAACTTCGTTTTATAATCTTTAACCGGCAAAGGAAAGTTAATAGGCTGCTCTCGTTGGGAGTTGAATTTGTAAGAGTTCTATTATGCATACTCTCAAATTCTATTTCTTGATGTGGCGAATAAGGATTATTTGTAAGAGTTCTACTATGTATATTTCCAAATTTTACTCTCTGATGTGACAAACAAGAATTGATTATTTTCATCATGTAGGTCTACAAAAAAGGTTTTGTAGAACTTGTGAGATGGAATAAAAGTTGAGAGTATAAAATGAGAGTCCACCGAGTATTTTTCTTATCAGAATATAAACTTTCATTACATTAAAAATGAACATTCAATATACTAAAAAAATAATCATTTATCAATTATCTGTGATGCTCATTATAATTTACCTAAGTTGAATGACAGGTCCAACAGATAGAATGGGTATTATTTTCAGCATATTGCAATGGACTATCACTTCTAATTTTCTCTTCAATCTGCTAAAGAAACTTTCTAGTTTCCAAATTCCAAGCAGCCATAGCCCAGAGAAAAGGAGAAAAATGGGCTGTCCATGGAATCAAAGAAGAAGTTAAAGAGGAAGTGTGTATATCAATTAGGTTAAAAGTGGCACTTGGACCCTCACTTTTCTCCAAATGCTCAGCCCAGCCCCTAGTTTACAGGCAAATTATTGAGTGGACCATGGTCCATACAATGTTACGTGGATCATAACAAAAAGTACATTTTTAATATACTAAATGTACATTATACAATATAATGTATACTCAAAATAAAAATAATGTACATCTCCTGAATACAATATACATTATTTTTGTACTTAATATACATTATTTTTGTATTGAATGTACATTATTTTACAGTAGATAAGATATGGTCCACACAATAATGATTGCTAGTTATAAGTATCCAACACCATAATGACCATATATAGTACAAGCTGGTAAAAGAAATTTAAACATTTATAACTGGTAAACATTTTGTTAATTTAATATTAAATTTTGGATGAGTCATTTCAACCTGTTGATGAGAAGTGAGAGATTTGATTAATTCAGAAGTTACATAATACATCAGAATATATACAACGCAAGAGTCATAAGAAGACTAGGATAAGCAGATCTAATTTAACTAGAATACATAGAATCTTAATATTCCCCCTCAAGTATAAGGTAAACTAGTAACATGTAGCTTGTTTCTAAAAAAGAAAATTTGGGATCAGGCAGAGCTTTAGTAAATATATCTACAATTTGATCTATGGTGGAAATAAAATTGACTTGTATATCACCCAGTAACTCTGTCTCTAACAAAATGATAATCAATCTCCACATGTTTGGTGCGAGCATGAAATATCGGATTTACACACATATACGTAGCACCAAGATTATCACACCATAGTTTAGGCCCAGGAATATCAGGAACACCAATCTCACGCAACAAAGAGAGAATCTAGATTACCTCAACACAGACATCTGCTAGAGCCTTATATTTAGCTTCAGTAGAGGATCTAGCCACAGTCCTTTGTTTCTTACAGACCCAAGACACAAGATTGGATCCAAGAAAAACATCATAACCACTAGTTGACTTACGATCTTCAAGATATCCAGCCCAGTCATAATCAGAAACAACATGAAGATCATTTGTCATAGACTTCCTTATTATACGCAAGTCATAAGTAATAGTACATTTGACATACCTCAGTACACACTTCAGTTGAGCCCAATTTGACACTGTAGGAGCATGCATGTGCTGACAGAGTTGATTCACCGCAAAGGATAAGTCAGGACGCGTAACAGTGAGATACTGTACATAGCGCCCTAGCCAAGCTCCTGTATTGATTAGGATCATCATACAAATCTGTGCAAAGAGGTATAGATTTCGAAACAGGAATAGGAGTGGCAAGAGGTTTACAATCTAACATACCATCACGTTTTAATATATCTGTCATATATCTTTGTTGGGAAAGCAATAAACCATCACCATGTTTAACCGTTTCAATGCCAAGAAAAAAACCAGGTTCACCAAGATCCCTAATCTTAAAGGCTGTAGACAGTTTAGACAGTAACATATTCACTAGATTCTGATCACTACCCATCACAAGAATACCATCAACACCAACATATAAACATAGGCAGAACCCTATGAATAATAGAATAATGAAACATATATCTATGATGCATTAAATCCCAATGACAGCAAGAATGCATGTAAGCTATGAAATCAAGCTCTAGGAGCCTGTTTGAGACCATACAAAGAAGGTTTCAATAAGAAAATATGACTGGGAGACTGTGTATCAGTATATCTTGGGGGTTGACGCAATGAGGAATAGTATTCAGTAGTAAAAAGGTTCAGAGAATGATAATATTACAGAAGCTACTAGAGTCCTAACGTAACACAACTAGTCAATACACAATAGATTTCCTAACACTCCCCCTCAAGCACAAGGGGAATGAGAAAGAACATTGAGATTGCCACGTACGAATGAAAAACGCAGTCCTGGAAGAGCCTTAGTGAAAATGTCCGCGAGCTGGTAATCGATCTCAACATGCTTAGTGCGCGAGTGGAACATCGGATTAGCACATAAGTAAGTGGCACCCAAGTTATCACACCAGAGAGTTGCGGTGATGGAGGACGCAATCCAAACTCAGTTAACAACGAAACCAACCAAGTTACCTCAGTAGAGACATCGGCAAGAGCTTTGTACTCAGCCTCAGTTGAGGAACGCGCTACCGTGCGTTGCTTTCAACAAGCCCAGGACACCAAATTGCGACTGAAGAATATAACAAAGCCACTCGTAGACTTTCTGTCAATTGGATCACCAGCCCAATTTGAATCTGAAAAAGCATGGATATCAACAGAAGATGACTTACATAAATGCAGGCCATAATCTAGAGTCCCCTTGACATAACGAAGCACCCGCTTAAGCTGACTCCAGTGACCAATTGTGGGAGCATGCATGTGTTGGCACAACCTGCTCACTACAAAAGAAGGGTCAGGCCTAGTCACAGTCAGATACTGCAAAGCACCAGCTAGGCTACGATAGCGTGTGGGATCAACATAGGGAGCATTTGCATCATCATCCATTACCCGAGACAAAGAAACCGGAGTAACCAGGGCCTAGTGTTGCTGAGACAAAAACAAACCACCATTCGAAGGAACGGTCTCAATACCCAAGAAAAAAGATGGAGGACCCATATCCCGAATCTTAAACTCAGTAGCCATCTTGTCAACAAGCGCATACACCTGAGTTGAATCAGACCCCATAACCAATATATCATCCAAGTAAACAAGAAGATACAGCCTCATAGAACCACAAGAGTAAATAAATAAATATACATCTGTCTTAGACGAAACAAGTGTGGTGTAGATGAGATGCAAATGAGTGGTGTTGAAGGTCAAAGTGTGGAAAAGAGAAAAAAGGAGAAAAAGGGGAACAATGTGGTAGTATTTGTTGACATAAGTGCTTGGGAGAATGGAACCTACAAGGGTGGAAATAAGATAGGAGAAGAAAGACACTGCATACTTAAGGGAGTGTGTTAATTCCTTATGCATTACCCTATTTGCTCTTAGATGATTATGTGCCCCTTTTTCTTATGCTTGTCTTTGAGAATGCCCGCCATCTCGCGGCATTTCTCAAATCCAAGGTGAACGGGACACATGGTCTGGTTCCCTTTCTTGTTTGCTTTGACATGTAGTCCAACGTTTTTGTCTAGCCAAAGACATAAAACATGGCGCTTCTTGGGAGGCCAAGATAAAAAGGAAAAAACAATCATAAAATTTTTGAAAATTGAAAAAAATATATGTGTGTTTTTAGTTTTAGTTGTGTTTGATTAGGGAGTCGTGTGTTCTTGTTTTTTTTTTTTTTTTTTTTTTCGTGAGCTAACATGCAGGTTTAAGTCACAATGGGAGCCTACACTATTAAAAAAAATGGGGGGTCGGGGAAGAAAATTGAGCAGAAAGTGGCTAAGGGAGCCACGTACGAGTCGTGTATGCACATAGACGAGGCCAACGTATGTGGTGAAAATTCGTGGAACTTTCGGCTGCTTGAACAACGCTGAAACAACGTACGTTGGGCCACATACGCGGTTGCATACATGCGTACGCCTGGGCGTACATCGCCCAGGCAGCAAGGATTAAAACAGAGCAATGGCAGTGTGTCTTTGCTGCCCATTCACTCGCCAAAGCTGCTCCCCTTCACCCCTAAACATCCTCCCACTTTGAATTAGGTCCAAGAATTGCAAAGGTACATCAATTTCACTCTTGTGGCTTCTCCCAAACACCAAATAACAACATTTAATCTTCCAAAAGCTCCATTCAAGGTATGAATTTCTTACTCTTCAAATTTTGGGCATTTTTCCTAAAATTCCAGGGTTATGAAATTGTGCTACAATTTGATAGGATTGATGATCTAGATTGTTGATTTTGTGTTCTTGTTGCTTAATGTACATGAGGAATGAGCTACATTGTCAATTTTTGCTTAAAATTCCATAGTTTGAAGAATGCATAGTAGGTGTTTTTGAAAATGCTTGAATGAAGAATGTATGAATGTTATGCTTCCATTCGATTTGTTCTTTGCTTGCATGATGCTAGTATATACTTGTTGACCATTCTTTGTTGAAATTAGCATTGTGTAAGAGAATTGTTGCTAGCATAATCTCCATTCTTTGTTATAATTGTGAATCATCCTTTGATTGTTCTCGAATCTTGAAGAGACAAAAATAGAAGAAAAATATGTTGAAAAGTTACTTGCATCAATTGTGCTTTGTTTGAAAATTGTTTCAATTGTGGTTTAATTGTGAAAATGGTGTGGCTCGACCCCATTTGTTGCATAAAGTGTGAGATTCACATCTCTTCATTTCACCACCAACACTTGCACTTGAATTTGGAAATAAATGTTGAATTGTACACTTGATTTTCTTAGTTAACAAATACGGACCCAAGAATGTTGTTTCATTGTATTATGCTTGAAAATATTGTTGTAGGAGAAATGAGGACAACTAGGGCCGGACAATCACAAAGGAGAAGGGACCAAGGAGAGTCGAGTGCACGTGGAGAGCAAAGAAATGTTGAGGCACCCGCACAACAAAATGAACCGCATGGACCATCGGTGGGTAGCCGAAGAATGGACGTGCACATTCTGTTAGCGCCTCCTTGGTTGTATTGTACTGTGCACACATGTGGTTCAAAGAATTTTGTCACCATCAATTGAGAAGATGCCTCATGCAATTTCCTTGCCGATAATGTCCAGCCACAAGATGGTATTGCATGGAAATTTGGACACGAGACTTTCCAATTTGTTTTATTCTTGTTATTCGTTATGAAGCTTCGCCTCTGATGAATACTGTAAGTTGATAGCTTTTTTAAGTGTTGGAAAATATGGGAAAACCATTCCGATGCCTATGACATTTGTTGAGGGGTCATATGATATCATTTCTTGGTCATCCCTCTCAGTAAACCCGTGGCTGAATGTGGCTGTTAGTTGTGGTATTGGAGAATGGTAGAAAGGAATAGCAGAATCAGGGATCCTTGGACCTCGACCCCCATATTGTTGAGCAGTTTGTTCCATTGTCTGGAAGTCAACTGCAACTGGCTCATTTATGTCGCCGTCCGTATTACATTCACTGTCTGATGGTATAGACTAAGGTACATAATCCCCCACCATTAAAGGGACTTAGGCTGATGCTGTCATTGCCTGACAACGATCAAAACAAATTTTCATGCCAGTGTATAAAAACTTGAACTGTCATATAGTGACATTAAGTACTTCTCTAAACGGGAGTGAATTTGATCTTGAACTCATCGAATAGACAAAGTTTGAACTTAACGCACTTAATTTGCTTTGGTCGCTTTAAAATATGTGAGGTCATACTCTTGACCCTGAGATATCCCCTGTTAGGTCTATTCTAGGATAGACCTTCAACTCTGTCAAGTCTATCTCAACGCAGACCACCATGACTGGCTACAGAGTATCTATGGGCACCACGAGCACTTTGTACTCATGTCATTATGCGGTGAATTCATTAGGTTTGTCTCAACAAAACCACCCTTTCTCAAAGAGTTATGAATTCATTAAGTTCGTCTCAACAAAACTACCCTTTCTCAAAGAGTTATGAATTCATTAAGAGCTGTAGCTCAACCTCACAGATACACACACTGTCGGAATGACCAACTAGTGTACTATTTTGTAACTCTTTTCATGGTTTCGTTTGACCACAGAAGTGGGATCCACCACGAATTCATTACCACTTGGACTTTAAGTCCTTCCAATGAGTCAACGACTAATCCTCATAATTAGCCCTCAAGTAAGTTGATTCTCTTGACCAAACTTACATGCACTTTGACGAGTACTTTGTTTACTCGTAAATAATACCTTGAGATTTTCATGTTTAACATGACACATTCTCTTTCATCATTATTCTCAATACCACAGAGAAACTTTTGATGAAAATATATGGAGTTTATTACCCCACAAAGCAACACTTACAAATATTTTTGTCAAATGTATTTGATCTCTTACCCAGACTGATATTTGGTGCCCATCATTAGCTCCTTTGTAGACTGAATTTTGCCGACTTGCTTTGTGGAGCATTATAGAAGCTTCGCACTTTTCCTGATACATGCTCAACAGTTGATATTTCAACAAACTTGGTTATCTCAATTGATCACAATTACCCTTTAACTAGGAATTATAGGTATTTTAATATGACTCAACCAAGAGTTTAAATAATATATATATAAATGCTCATTGTTAGTAAGCCATAGAAATAATGTTGTTCACATGCTACATGAAGTTGAACAATATAATCACAAATTTCACATCATATTCTTATAAGAAATTAATCTCATACACAAGGAATATGTTCTAGTTCATATTTATTCGGAATATCTCTCAACAATGAGACTTCAGAGTTGCCACTAGCACAATTTTTTCCTTCCCTTAAGGAATTTAAAACTCATATAAAGCATTCATAGGGTGCAGATCAATATTGCAGTACTTCAACAACTTCTATTGCAAGGCTTTGATTGTATTAGCAACATATGAAAGTCAACCTCATTTAAGGTAAAGATCAAGTGGCGCTCTAACTAGCCTGCATGATCAACACCCTACTTCTTAAAAACTCCCAGGTCGAGTGGTGAAATCGAAGTTTACTTAAAAACCATCTTCCTAGACAGAGTGTTCAAGAATGATGACTTTTCCATGTTCTCACTAAATTACAACTGAAGCCTATGATATATGCTCTTATTTTTATACAAATAATTTTAGTAAAAAGTTTGAGCAATATCTATGCACGAATTATTTCAATCAATGTCATTAGTATTCAAAATACTAAAGAAATAAGTACTACTAAGTAATCAAAATCTAGACAGCTCAACTAGAATTCATGTACTACGATAACCATACTTCATGCGAACCCTTAGAACTAGAGCAAACATAGTTACTCAAAATAACTATTTATTTAAAGAGACTCAATACTCATCTTGCTCTGTCAGATTGACTTTTGCTAGTTTTGCCCTTGTGATGGTAGCACTGGTGTGCACGGTGTCCTTGCTTTCTGCACGTTAAACACCTTCCTTTAAACTTCTTTATTTTTCTACTCCTTTCGTTGTAGACGGTTCTGACACTTTGACTTTCAGTTCCATTGGCACCGTACTTTTCTGACAGTGATTCCCAAATGACTTTTGCCGAATCTTGTTTGACATAGATGTCGAACAAATCGTCATTCATTTGTGACAGCAGGTATCCTCTGGCTGCCGCATTGTCATTTCTAAATTGAATCAGAGTTACACCCGGTTCTTGACCCGGAATGTAATCTATTTCAGGACTGCTTTCTCTCGATTCTTCACCCGGAGTGTAATCAGGTTCATGATTACATTTTGTAGCACCAAATAGAGAGAACACTGTTGGAGAAGGTTCAGGTGCAACTGAATATAGCACGTAAACCAACTTTAATTGTTCAAAAAGAATAAGCATTCTTTGAGCCCACCTGCTGTAATTTTTCCCATCAAGCGCGGTGATTTTTGATAGATCCGGTATGACAGAAGGTGCCATAATGCTAAAGGTTGACTGTTGCACAATAACGCTCTTAACTGTTGGGGAAAATTGCAACGTCAACGCGCGATCTGGAAGCCTTTTAAGAAGCACGGACACTATTGGTGTATGGTTGAAAGGAAATCTGTGCCGTGTTATAATAACACTACCTTAAAAGCGTTATTTGCCCGGTAACGGTGCAGTTAGTACCCTGGCACGCTTTCGACAGGCTACACAGACCTACTACGGATAGCTTGCACTAGCAATCACGTAGGCGAACCTCACTATTGCTCAGACGAAAGGAGGAAGAAGGAGAAATATTAAATGACTCGAATTCAATGTGTGTTTTGAAACGACGTTCGGAGCTGCTATTTATAGTAAGCAGCCCCTCCATCCCACCCACATGATGGACAAGTGTGATGTCCACACTTTAGCACCTTTGGCGCTGCTCCTTACAGAGAAGCGCATGGTGCGCTGCTAATTAATGAAATGGATAATACCATTTCCATTCCATCATTCCAATGATAAGGTGAAAGGGGTGGATGTGGACCAAACATTTCATCCTTAATTTTCCCAACATTACATTCACTGTCTGATGGTATAGACTCAGGTACATAAATTTCATCTGTGTCCGAAGAAGTTTCCACCATAGTTGAAGAAGAAGGTGTGCCCTCAGTAGTATAACTCCCGAAAAATGCTGCCATAATAAAATATTTTATCCAAGGGTGTTGTTGTGTTTGAAAAATTGGATTTGATGTGTAGTTGTTTGATATGTATGTATTCAACGTAACTTGAAACTGAATAGTACTGACCTTTGTATTCTTAAAAAAAAAAAAAAAAAAACTTAATAGTAGTGAGGTTCGTAGTCTAAAATAAAATGAATAGAGGTCGAACGGTATATAAAGGGAAACAACAAACGGACTTCAGAATTCCGCTTCTTTTAATTTCCCCTTTTTTTTAGTTCTTAAGTTGGACTCCCCTAGTCGAACTGTTTTAGTTTTTAATATTTCCCTTTACAGCGTTTTCATTTTTGGTTTAAAGAGAATATAAATATTCAATTAAAAGCCTAAATTCGTACGCATATAGGTAGTAATGTTAACAATAAAGATTGAATTAATTATATAAGCATACATACTCATTTTTTTTTTTTTTACTTTGAAAGTAGATATTTACCTTCTTCAATGATTGCATCAACTCTCATAGCATGTTCATGAGTCTCCCGTACTAGTTCTTGTTGCATATGCTCTAAAATCTCGGCATTAGAAGAATTTTTTGCATTTTGGGTTGTGGAACTAAAACCTAAACTTGAACTGCATTCTCCGACATCATTTTGTTGATTATTTATGAATTTGTTGAAAGCTTCAATGACTTCATCTTTACTGGTATATGATTTATATAAATTGTCGCTAAATCGATGCACTTGAGCTTTTGCATCCTCCCAGTTATCATATATTCCTGGTTGTCGACCGATAAACACATTATATATCTGCACCTAATATTAAACATGTTGTTATAGACGTAGTATTAATATAATGAAGAGAAATATAAATTAAGACTACGTACCATTGAAGTTGAAATCACAAGCTTGATGACTGGGTTGAAGTGGTAAAACTAGAACAAGATATGCTGATTCTATGGAAAATAAATGTTTTCTCGTTTCCAAGATGGTCTTCCTGAAAAAAATTGATGGTCCCTTAAATAAGACAGAATGACTGTATAATCGATATGGACTATACTTCCATTTTTTTCTTCCCCAGGAATCAACTCTGCATTAATTATAAAGATTGACATGACAAATTGGGTCACTCATATTTCCCATGCTTTGATTTTTGAGTCGTATTTAAAATAGTTTGAAAAAAGATCATGTTGGAATAACTACTCGGGTCAGTGATATTTCCCATGCTTTGTTTGATCAGTCCTATTTATGATGGTTTATAAAGATAAAATTTTGAAATGACTAATCAATATTAATTCCTGATGCTTCTCAATTTTCACTCCTTTCTATTATGCTCCGTAAAGGCAAAGATATCAGATTAAAGAAAGGTGAGATTTTATACTGAACTAAAGTTGTACTCCCCCAATCTGACTTTACAATAAATTCACCATTTTTTGAAATATAAGATCTGAGCTTCACGCACAAAAACCTATACATTGAACTCATAAAAAAAAAGTATCAGAGTAATGAATACATGCCATCGCAAAAAACGTAAACATTGAACTCACAAAAAAAAAAAAAAAATTTAGAGTAACGATTATACTCTAGATTTGTTTCAAAAATATAAAGCACCAACTTTGCTGAACTAAAGTTGTACTCCCCCAGTCTGACTTTACATTAAAGTCACCATTTTTTAAAAAATAAGATATGAGCTTCACGCGAAAAAAACATTACATTAAACTCAAAACAAATCTCTGTTTTCACACAACTATAGGTTACGTTAATGTGACCTATAAAACTGCTCAAGAAGAAAGTCGAAAAATAGAAATAGTTACATAGTGGAAACTTATCATTACTTGAGTGTAAGAGCTGAATTTTTTTTCCTTAATTTACCAAAGTTGGCAAATAATGGATATGTGGAGATACTTTAGTTCAAATGAGATTGAGATGAATAATGGGATGGAGAGTATTCAGTATTTTGTGCATACATTACACAATTGGAAGTATTGTATGTTTTCATTAATTAGAGAGAACGGAAGAAGCAATTACACGCTTGTTGTCGCACAAACGTGGTTGATGTTGACGAATGTTTTAAGATTTTCCATAACATTCCCAACGACAATCCGCAGCAGAAGTTGTGCAGATCAATTCATCCAAAATTTTATTTGTGGTTTAATTGCTTACAATTTCCGCATTGACCGTTGTATGACTTTAAAAAGACATTCTAATATACTGTATGATTTATTAAAATGTATAACATTTTCTTAAAATTATATTTAATACTTTTTGGTTGTATACTGTAGCTTGTTACACGTCACTTCAACTTGGAGGTCATCCCCATCCGTCCGTGCGCACGGTAGTTGGTTTGTTGTCGATATTGTGATGCCATTATCATTTGTATTTTCACACTGCATGTTCGACCACTTGGTTCAGCACGTAAGTATTATAGGTCTTTTCAATTGTTTTGATAATTTTTTTTCTCAAACTATGTTAATTCTCGTTAACAATTATTTGCCTTTTTTAATTTTTGTTACTAGCTTGCAACGAACATATTCATATGCCTGATGTTAGTGAATGCACAATTACGTGGTTCACTATCGAAGTTACAGTTGATCAACATATGGTAATTATAACAATCTCATTTTAATACACTCATAAATTTGATACAAATAATCGTGCTTTATCTTTTTTTTTAATAGAGAATTCTCAATTGTATGCATCGGCATCTAATGCAACATATGACAACGAAAACAATGTTGTTGCATCACAGGTAATGTATACGCGTTTGTGTCGAAGATATGCACTTTACCGAGGGAATTACTGATTTCTTAGTGAAAAATAATTTATACCCTAGAGACATGGTGCTATTTCAACATACAGGTTTCTTCACTTTCGAGACTTATATAGCAATGACTCCAACACTCCAAAGAGGGAATGTAATCAATATGGTGAATGGATAACTGCCGTCAACACCGCCACCGACTGCTGTAGTAACCACCGCGCACCGCCGCCTAACGCCAAGTGCCAACACTTAAAAACAATTTTAGAATGTTGGTTATTGTTCAAAGTTTTGGGACCACAAATCTTTGTTTTTGCTTTTCAATATTCAAATCGGGTGAGACCATACAAGATTGTTTGAATGTAAAAAATTGGGTAGAAGGCGGAAGAGATGAAGAAATTCTGATGGTGAGGAGTGAATTTAACATTAGAGTTTACTTTTCAAATTAAATACCGTATGAATCAAATGAAGGGTGGGTCCCGTATTATACACTATACACATACCGTATTAAATTAGGGGTGTAAATAAATTAAATAATTTTAATTCGATTCATGATTCGAATTCGAATATGTTGATTCGAATTCGAATCCGAATTCGAATACCTATTTTGATTTGAAATTTATTCGAATCTGAATACGAATCAAAATATATTCGATTCGAATACTATTCGAATATATTCGAATATATATATATATATATATATATATATATATATATATATATATATATATATATATATATATATATATATATATATATATATTAAAAAACTAAAAATAAACCCTAAGTCCCTAAAAAGTAACACCTAAGTCAGTATCATCACTTGAGAGAAGAACTAAGAAAAAGCAACTCCTCCAACTCCAAGCCGCCATTCTCCAACGCCGCTGCAGTCAGTCGTAGTCAGCACTGCTGGTCGCCGGAGTGCCGGTTGTGACTCTGCCCTCGTCTGTGAGACTGTGACAGAGAAGCTCCAACACCTCATCTCCATTCTCCAATCTCCAGACTCTAGAGTCTAGAGTCCAGAACTCCAGGCCTGTGACGGCTCCGCACTGCCGCGACAGAGAAGCTTCAACGTCTGCACTCCATTCTCAAGATCCGTGACGGTTCCGCGCCAGAGAAGCTCCAACTCCAACACTCCAGATCTGTGACTATTTCGGCAGCAATGGACGGCAAGGGCTCGATGGCGACCGATAGCAATGGTAACAATAGTACAACACTCTACATTATTATTTGTTAAAAATATAAATCTTATTTGTTATTTCTCTGTTAGAATTACAGTATGTTTTGTTTTATATATATATATATATATATATATATATATATATATATATATATATTATAGTAATTAGTAATTAGTAATTAGTAATTGTTAGTTTGTTACAGTATGTTTTGTTGTTTAACTAATTACTAGTTATGATTATGTGAATTGAATTTGAAAATTATTTATTTTATATTATTATAGTACTCAAAAAGAAATTATTGAATTTGTGGGCAGTAGATTCTTCCTTGGCTATTCAATCTTCAAATCCAAATGAACAAAAACAAAGAGATGATGTTAGAGAATATGAGGAAATAAATTATGTTGATTTTAATGAAGTTAATGATGGAGGCCTTGAAGGTGATAATGTACATGACTTGGATGCTAATGTGGAGGTTAATGATGATGGTATACAAAATGAAAATATAGAGGTTGGAGATGAAAAAAGTGGTAATGAGAAGGAATCTGAAAAGAATGATGATCAAGAACAATTTCAAAGGAAGAAAAGAAAGAGGGTATCAAAAGCCCACGTTGATTTTAGTGAAGTTACTGCAAAGGATGGAAGTATAAAGCTACAATGTATACATTGTAAAACACTCCTTTCTAAGTCAGTGTCTTCTACAACAACTCATCTTTGGAACCATTTGAATAGGTGTACACAAAAGAAGCTTCAAACAAAAAATCAAAAAACCTTGCAATTTCATAATGCAAAATCCAAGTTTGAGACACCTCCTTTGTCCGATGGTAAATATGATCATACAAAGCAAAGAGAAGCTATTTCTCATTGGATTCTTATGCACGAGCAACCGTTAAATGTTGTGAAAAATTTTGGCTTTAATTTCATGTTGAATGTTAATCTTCCATAATATGAGAAAGTCTCTCGTGCCATGGCAAAGAATGACATCATTACTGTTTATGAAATAGAGAAGAAAAAGTTACAATTACTATTAAGAACCATCAATAAGATATCATTGACCACTGATATTTGGAAGTCTAAGGTGCAAAATGTTTCATATATGTGTGTCACTGGACACTTTGTTGATTCAAATTAGCAACTTCAAAAGCGTGTACTTAGTTTCATGCCTCTTCCTCCTCCGCATACTGGTAATGTTCACTTGTTTGTAAATATATCTCTATAATAATTAATTAATAATAACTATTTCTTGAATTAATTATATTATTGTCATATTTCAGGTGTTGATATCATTGATGGGGTTATGAAGTCCACAAAGGATTAGGGAATAGAGCATAAAATCTTCACTATTTCAGTGGACAATGCTTCAAACAATGATGTTGTAGTTAGAATTGCCAAACAAACTTTCTTCAGGAGTCATAAGCTACATTTGGGTGGTAAGCTATTTTATGTGAGATGCACTACTCATATATTGAATCTTGTTGTTCAGGATGGTATTTCTACAATTAAAACCATTGTTGATGATGTTAGGAATAGTGTGCAATTTATTAATCAGTCTGAGTATAGGTTGATGAAGTTCTCTGAAATTGTGCATCATTTGAGAAATCCGGTGAAAAAGTTAGTTCTTGATTGTGTTACTCGTTGGAATTTTACATATGAAATGTTAGTTGTAGCCCTTAAACTTAAGGATGCATTCCCAATATTCGCACAAAGAGAGCCTTCAAATAAATGTTGTCCTAGCTTGGAAGATTGGACTAGAATACAGGATGTTCTTAGCATCTTAGAGGTGTTTTATGAAGCTACTCAAGTGATCTCTGGAACTAACTATCCCACGTCTAATGTTTTTCTTGGTGTTGTTTGGAGGGTCAAGGATGTCTTAAATGAAAATGAGTTTCATCATGAAGAGGTCATTAGAAATATGATTGAAAAGATGAAGCAAAAATTTGACAAATATTGGGGTGATTGCAATCTTTTGATGTCTATTGGAGCAATACTTGATCCTAGGTACAAAATGAGGTTGGTTGGTTTTGCTTTCAACAAAATATATAATGCAAATGATGCACGTGCAAATGTGAAGAATGTTAGGGATGCATTACATGACTTATTTTATGAATATGTTGAAATTGATAACATGAGAAATCGAAGAGGTAGTTCTTCTGTGACACATGTTGGCAGTTCGGTTGTTACTTCTACACGCTCTACATCCAAAGAAAAAGTAGTCCTTTCTGGTTTGTCTTTGTATGATAAATATTTAGACAGTGTTGAAGATGTAACTCCAAAAAAATCAGAGTTGAACATTTACTTGGAGGAAGGGGTTTATAGGTGTCAAGATGGTGAAGTAACCTCCTCCGTATTTGATGCTTTATCTTGGTGGAAATCTCATGAATTGAAGTTCAGTATTTTGTCTAAATTAGCCCGTGATTTTTTAGCTATTACAATTAGCTCTGTGGCATCAGAAGCCACATTTATTGCGGGTACCCGAGTTCTAGATCCTCATCGTGCTAAACTATCTTCTGACATGGTGCAAGTTTTAATTTGTGGAGCAGATTGGGTTCGTCAACTTCATGGGATCAATAAGCCTGTTATGACATATGTAAGTTCTACTTTAGTAATTTAATATATCTTATTGATTAAATGATAATAATTTTAACTTTATTTTATTTTTTTGTAGGATGAAGAAGAACCAATTGATGTGATATTGCAAGCATGATGGCCGGATAATATTTGAAGTTTAATTGTGATTGTTATTGTAGTACTTAATTTATGAATTTGATTGACTTTTTTTTGGGTTGATGTTGAAGCTTAATTCAAACCTAATATTCTTAATCTAGTATTTAATATATGAATGAATTTGATAATTGACCTTTTGTTGTTATTTTAATGTGATTCTTGCTTAGTGTATTAATATAATATTTTATGCTATTTAAATATAAATTTTTATTACATTTTTCTTAATTTATTGGAAAATTTTGTAAAAAATTAAGTTAGTCATTTCGAATTCGAATAATCGAGTCGAATCGAATATATTCGAATAAACTGGTCGAATCGAATACGAATACGAATCCAATTTGAGATTCGAATATTAAACGAATACGAATACGAATATTCGAATATATAGTCGAATTCGAATCGAATAGTGAGATATTTGACTCGATTCGATTCGTATACACCCCTATATTAAATTAAATATTTATCACCGTAAATACATCGTATGTCACTAGCGGCGTATTAAGACTTCAATTAATAAATGCATTGCGGTAGGCCGTTTCTTAAAATAAAATCGGACTCCTCCAACGCGGTTTCCCTACTTGGAAACGAAGTGAGAGAAAAAATATACACGTTTATAGGGTATTTTCAAAAAAACCACCAGCTCAATTTCCGGCCGAAACAACATTATAAATAGAGTAAATATCTAAAATGGTCCCTCGACTATAGCAAAATTCACAAATTGGTCCTTGACTTTCAATTTCAACCAATTAAGTCCTTAACTTTGTAATTTTAACACAATTTGGTCCTTTGTTTATTTGACCGTTTGTTGACTGTGATTTTTGAGGATATATATGTAATTTCATGGTCCATTGTCGATTTTTTAAAGTTCTGGTTGCATTTCCAGACCGCACTGTTACATTTGAATCCACTCCTGAAAGCAATCTACCAAATCCGGTCGCCTTTATTCATCCTCCCTTAGGATTCAATGTAGTTGAGTTCGTACCAGAGCGAAGAAGACGACGTGTTTCCGAACCAGTGCAACGTCATCCGGGAGGCCACCACGTGCTCCAACGAGAGCTGGAGGTTCTTCTGGAGATTGTCGATCACGGTCAACAAACGGTCAAATAGATGGAGGACCAAATCGTGTTAAAATTACAAAGTTAAAGACTTAATTGGTTGAAATTGAAAGACGAGGACCAATTTGTGAATTTAGCTATAGTCGAGGGACCATTTTGGTATTTACTCTTATAAATAATTTGTGGGCCGTAATAATCCTTGGCCTTTTTTTGAAAATTTTACCGGCAAATCAAGAAACCTGTCCCATTGTCCCGGCCAGTGCCGGCACTCTCCATCCCTTGTTTGCCTCCTCCCATTTAAACCCTCACCCTCACACACACACTGCAGTCTGCAGGGAAATGATTCCGCGTTCGTATTATACTAAGGCGGAGGCGCAGAGCAAGGCCGCCGAGATGGCCACCGCCGTCTTAGGCGCTACTTCGCCGCTGCAGATCGTGGCCGCCTGCGCAGAGGTGGAGTCTTTCCTCCAGAAACATACCCCGGACCAGTCCCGCTGGTTTTTCTCCCTCACTTTCCCTACCCTAATCTGCAAAATCTTCGGCTTCGACTGTGCTGCTAAGCTAGCTCAGTCCCCCACCGGTTGGCTCGATATTGCCGCTCTATCGGATGATCCCCAGCTCTCAGGCATGCTTCTTAACATCGTAATCTTGGATTTTCTACCTAATTCAAGACCATTACTTTTACTCTATAATAACTAGACTCTCCTGTCATATACTGTATAAACATATAGACGTTGCATATGCACATGCCTACATTTAATGTTTTGTGATTTAAGAAAGAGTTAATTCCATTTTTGGTCTTATTGTTATATGGGTGTTTCCAATTTTAGTCCACCTTAATTTTCTTTGCCACTTTATGACCACTATTATTGAATGTGTTCCATTTTTAGTACACGGTTAGTATTTTCATGAAGAGGCCGTGTAATCTAGGAGTATTTTGATCTTTCTTCTGAGAACATTAAACATAAAATCTAAGAAACCTCGCCAGTCCACGTTGGAATGAACGAAAAGATGTAGCCTTGGCTTCCCATTCTCGTTGTTCGAAGAGCCATCTTCAAATATAGGAGGAGGAGGACGAAGCGCCTGAATTAAAAGAGAAGAGACAACCATAAAAAGACCAAAATACCCCTGAATTATACAGCCTCTTGACGGAAATATTAACGGTGGACTAAAAGTGGAGCACATTCAATAACAGTGGTTGTAAAGTGGCAAAAAAAATTAAGGTGGACTAAAATTGGAAACGCTCCTATAACAATAGGACCAAAAATGGAATTCACTCTTTAAGAAATGTGTTACCTTTATTTGTTTTTCCCTATTCTGATATTTGTTCATATTTTCTTTTCTGATAGGTAGACTCTTCAGCTTACTATCCCCCAATGGTGTGTTACTGTCATCAATTGCAGCTGTTGATGACTTATCTCTGGTTAAATATGTGTTTCCGGTTGAAAGATTGCCAGTATGGGTTCAGCATATGCTTCAAACCGAGAATTCTAGGATATTGTCCGACTTGTGCCCATTGTTTAGGGGTAGGTTGAAGGAGGATTCAATCAAGGGTCCAGTTTCTCAGGTTCATTTGAATGTTTTTGAGTATTATACTTTTTGGTTTGCATATTACCCTGTTTGTAGGCGCTGTAGTGAAACCCCACCAGCTGTTAGCGTTAAGAGAAGCAGAGAATTTAGGTTCAAGAATTGGGCTTATTCCATTCCTCATTTATCAAACAATAAGCCTGGAACAGAGTGGAAAAAGGATGGCAATCTTTATGCACGCCTCTTATTCGCGTATCTTCATGCTTATGTATATATGCACGACTTGAATGCTCATCAACCATACTGTAGCTCACTACTGCATTACTCTTCAGTATATAACACATTTGTTGCTGAACAAGCAGAGTTTTTCTTTAATACACTAATACACTTTTGGCTAGTGGACAATGATTTTTCACCATTGCCAGTGAACTTGTGCAAGATGTATGGTGTGTTGAAACTTTTCCATCCAGTTTTGAATGAGACTCCCCCGAATTCAAGATTATGTGAGGTGGTGAATGTTCTTGTGAAATATTTGAACTTGAACTCATTTACACTTGAGAGTCCTAGAAGGAATTCAGGGTCAGCTGATACTGTTAAATCAAGGGATGATGCATTGAGTATGCATTCTTTTAATTATTGGCACCCATGGGTCCAGAGGCCTTTGTATAGATTTATATTAAGGACATTTATGTTTTCACCTGTGTGCAGTCACTTAAAAACTGCATCTCAAGTCTTCACTGTTTGGGTTAATTACTTGGAACCTTGGACGGTCAGTTTGGAAGAGCTTGATGCAGGTTTAGACTTAACCTCTAAAGATATGCAAAAGGAGGTTACTAATTCATTGACACGTGGATATTCTTCTGCTTGGCAGGGTTTTGTGTTGGCTAACTATTTGTTTTACAGCTCTCTGGTTATGCATTTTATTGAGTTTTCACACAGATTTCTTCACACAGATCCTGAAATAATTGTCCAGATGATGTTGAAGGTTAATTCACTCACTCATTAATCCTTTATTATTGCATTTTTCTACTACATGATGCCTTTCCTTTTAGTGGTTGCATTGGCTGATAGTTGAACTTAAGAGAAGGTGAAGTGCTTCTTTGTTGGGTGTTCCTATTGTTGAAAACTAAATAGTTAGGTTTATCTATAAGGTTGTGTCTGTTTATGAATATGTGTTAGTTTATGGATAAGTATTTACAGTTATGTCTTTGTGTATATATATGTACTGTGTTTCTGTATTAGAAACAGAGAATACAGAATATATTATAACATCTTAGTTTTATATACATTCTCTCATTTCCGATTCTTCATTATTGCTTCCGCCTAACTGGCGGGTGGTGTTATTCTCCACCCGTCAGACCATTCCATCTTCCAAATTCAACACCTATTTCCTAATATGACTAGATAAGCATGAAAATGCCATGAGATGTCCTTGCATTTTGAACAATTACTTGGTTAACATAAGACTTTACTTTCACACAGTCAAGTTGGTCATATTTAGCATGCTTATTGATGACCTGGTTAAAGTGTTAAACATACAATAACCTTTTGCCAATGAATTCTATGCATAGGATATCTATTTATTGTTCTTAATGTATAAAGAGTTTTTTGCTCAATTAATGCAGGTGATAGTCATATTAACTTCATCTGTGGAGCTAACAGATCTCATAAAAAATGTGGACTCTGTTTTCCATTCAAAATCATCTGGATCATCCAAATCAATGCTTAACTTAGATCAGTTTACTCCTGCAATTCATGAACAGTTACAGGTATCTTTCGTTTGCTTTCTGCGTTACATTGTTTTCGTCACATATTCCTTTTTCCCTATAAAACTGTATTTAAATATTCTTGGCTCAAACCTAAGAACCTGCAAAAAATGTGCCTGATTCGCCTAAAAAATGTGCCATTGATCACTATGGTAGAGTGAAAGCATTCACTTTTGCAGAAGAAGCTTGTTTGAGTTGGCATCTTTTGTGCCTTAGAATTCTCTGCATTTTTGCTTGATGGCTCTATCTAGCAAGTGTCAATATAGTTTAGAGTGGGCAATCTTGATTTGTGGGGTTCTTGTTGTTCACTAATATCATTGTATTCATTTCTAACATTATCAGGACTGGGAAGATGGTTTATGCAAGAGTGAGGTTGATGGATCTTCCCTACCCGAGATTGGAAACAAAGGCTTAAAACTTTTCAGTTACAGTGAAGATGGTGGACAGAAATTGCTACAGGTTAGTAGCATGGTAAATAAACGCCATCTACAACTTCTATTATTGTAATTATGCCCAGGCCCAGTTTGGATAAATGACTTAAGATAGGCAATTTTCAATAAGCTCAAAATATCTTATAAGAGTTTACCCATTTTAACTGGCATTTAAAAAGATATTTTCACTTTATTCTGAATTCCTGATTAGCTAATTGCAATAAGAGTTAATAACCAAAATGGTCCATCGACTATGTCGTAATTACCAATTTGGTCCTCGACTACCATTTTTACCCAATTAAGTCCTCAACTATTCAATTTTTACCCAATTTAGTCCTCTGTAAATTTGACTATTTGTTGACTGTCAAAAGTGGGGATCAAATTGTAATTTTACAAGCTTTATCTTTCCTCCCCATTTAGCAGCGCCAAACTATGCAACACTATGCTCTGATCGGCTTCCGACCTTTAAAAAATCGTTGGAAATCAAATCCTTTTGGGCTCTCCGAGCACAACCCGTGCTTCAACACTGACAGGTTTGGAAGCCGACTGGAGCTTATTGCTGCATGGTTTGGTGCTGCTAAATGAGGATGAAGGAGAAAGCTTGTAAAATTATAACTTTATCTCCACTTTTGACAGTCAACAAACAGTCAGTCAAATTAACAGAAGACTAAATTGGGTAAAAATTACATAGTTGAGGACTTAATTGGGTAAGAATGATAGTCGAGGACTAAATTGGTAATTACGGCATAGTCGAGGGACCATTTTGGTTATTAACTCTTGCAATAACTTAAAGAGATACCCTCACCCTCCAAAAAAAATGCATTTCAAAAGTCATATTCCATAGTAAAAAATCAACACAAGTTCTTGTAGCAGTAGATAAGCTGAAAATAAATTCATCCAAACTGGGCCCTGCAGCTTCTTTTCACATGTCTGTGACTGTGACTTATTCACTACTGTAAATCCCTTGTGTAGCTCTTTGTATTGCGAGCGGAGTCTGAGCTGCAAGCTATGGGTGGGGACAAACTTGCACAAAACTTAGAATGTTTGGACACACTCAAATCCCAACTAGTGCACTTATTTGGCGCCCCTATTATGAAGACGCCTATTAGCATGTCAGAGACAACATACTGTGAGCACCGACGTGATGAAATTTTTAAGCCCCGAAGTTTTGGGCACCGTGCAGTGGTTGATTTCAAGTGCAAGGATGATTGGATGAAACGTCCCATCTGCAATGATGAGATCGCATGGTTAGCAAAGCTTCTGGTGAAGTTCTCAGCCTGGATAAATGAGAGTCTAGGGCTTAACCGGGACATGATGGGCATGAGCAGCCATAAGGGTAGTCCTTCTTGGTCCTACATTGAGTTGTCATCCAAAATCGTGTGTGGGACCGCAGAGACGATGAAAGCGGTGTTATGGTTTTTCCTATCTTGGCTCATTTGTTTGAGTGGGGTAGGAGTTGAGTTAATGAGAAAGCATGGGTTGCAGGTGAACTTTAGGGTGCTAGCCTTGAAGAAGGTAGTGATGATGTTGCTTATTATTTCTGCATATTTTGTAGTAAAGAAGGGTTTCACAACCTCTCAAACTGGGTTGAGAAACCTGACAGTGTGAAGAAATAATTTATCTGAAACAAAAGAGGAAGAAGGAGCTGAATGTTGCCCAGTGAGTCATGAAAAAGAGAAAAAATGAGAAGAGAAACAAGAGCTCATTGCTGTTGCTGTTGTAGTTAGTATAAAGATTAGTGTGCATTAATGATATAATTTGAGACTTTAGACATGAGGTCTCAAATTCAATTTTGTTTGTTGCTTACAACTTATACAAAATTACATTTATACAGGTTAAACTTGATTCATTTTCTATATTCATTATAATGAATAGAGAAAAGTGATATTATATTTAGAAAAATATTATATTTCATTTTGTCTTCATCATATTCGGATAGATTTAATCTAATCTCTCAATTATTGTTGTATTTATTTTTGGTTCCTCAATTTCAAAGTGGTGGTTTCAGTAATATGAAAATTTGATTTTATTTATTTACTTATGATAGATGTCTTTATGTTTCAGTAAATTTATTTGACAATTTTTTGTAATAAATTACGGAGAAGAATAAATTAAATTTTCATATTATTATTTATCTTTTTATTGATCAAATATCATGATTTTTTTAAAAAAAATAAGATTTTTGTGACATTTTCCCCTAGAGTGAGACGGAGTGGCGATAATACTGTGGTAGTTAAATTGAAAAGAGTTCTAATATGTATATTTTTCAAATTTTACTCACTTTTACCCTTAAGAATTTGAGATTCAAAAGAGTTCTAGTATGTATATTTTTCAAATTTTTACTCACTTTTACCCTTAAGAATTTGAGAGCGAGAGTAGAAGTTGGGGTTAAAGATAAAAGTCTACGGCCCCTGTTTGATAAATGATTGTTAGTTGATAACTGATAACTGTTTGTTGATTGAGTTCTACGGCCCTGTTTGATAAATGATTGTTAGCTGATAATTGATAACTGTTAGTTGATTGAGTTAATTAGATGGTATAACTAGTTGATAACATTAGTTGATTGTAAAAATGTATTTGGTAAATTAACGGTTAGCTGATAACTGTTTGGTATAATTTCTTTTCTCAAAAAGTTAATTGAAAATTTTGTTTTGAGTAGCTTTTTAAATTTTAGTATTTTAAAGTACAAAAAGTTAATTAACCAAATACTTACATTAATTTTGAAATCAAGTCAAACAATTAATAGTGATCAAATAAGTTAAAATTAATTTATAGGTTAACTATTTTACCAAACATGGCTAAGTAATATTTTGATAATTGAAAATTTGGATGATCACGTGATAGGCCTCAAAAGCAAAAGGTGAAAAAAGCAAGCCATATTCATAACGTAACTACCACATGGAATCTCCATTGAATGCAGTAGCAAGTACAAATAGGCTACTTTGGCTTCGCAGCTATTCGACTTCATTCTTTTGCTTACCAAATGTCACTCTCCTGTCATTGATTCTCTCGTGAATATCAAAACAACTTTCTATTCCTCTCTCTCTCTCTGCAGACTGGCATGTAGACAAACACAATTTACATACATCTCATCTGATCATTTCACCTCATGACTTCAAGAAAGAGTGGAGGTGCTAGAATGCATGTTCATAAAGGAGCATGGACGGCTGAGGAGGACAAGAAACTGACCCACTACATTGAGAATCATGGTGCTAAAAAGTGGAAAACTGTGGCCATCAAATCAGGTAATTAATTACTCTCTCTCTCTCTCTCTCTCTCTCTCCTTGCTCAGAATCATGCTCTCAAAGCTGAAGCTGAAAAGCTAGTAGCTAATAAGCTCCTGTTTGGTAAATGGCTGTTAGCTGATAGCTGTAATATGCTGCAACTCACTGGTTTTTGTGTGTGTTCTTGCAGGCTTGAATAGGTGTGGTAAAAGTTGTAGGCTGAGGTGGTTGAACTATCTGAGGCCAAACATCAAGAGAGGCAACATAGCTGAAGATGAAGCTGACTTGATCCTTAGGCTTCATAAACTACTAGGAAACAGGTTCATAATCCAACACCATCTTTGGTTTATAGATCGAATGGAATAACATTATATTCTTAGATTAGAAATAGGACTATTCCGAGAATAGTATTGTATTCCATTCTGTATAAGAACCTGATGAGCGCAATTCAACTATTAGCTTAGGCTTTTAGTTGAGATGGAGCACATGCTTCAATTTGGTATCAGAGTCATGCCAAACCTAGCTAGCTAATCAACTGTTTAGGAGAGATCGAGAATGATGGTAGTGTTCTTTGATAGCAGGTGGTCTTTGATAGCTGGGAGACTTCCAGGGCGAACCGACAATGAAATCAAGAACTACTGGAATACTCATTTGAGCAAAAAAGTCACCCAACTGGGAAAATCTTCTTTACCAGCAACAGAAAATCAGCCACCCAAGAATGGCATGGCCGATGCTGAACAAATGGGAGGCAATAAAGAAAGCGAAGAAGACCCAGAATTGAACTTTGATGTAGATGAGTTCTTTGACTTCTCTGTGGAAGGGACATATGGCACAGAATGGGTCAACAAGTTTCTTGAAGTTGAAAAGGGTATGCCATAGATGGCTGGCAGATTGTAATGTATTAATATGCCTACCTAATGCCTGTGCAGAAGACTAACCTGTACTGTACTTGAGCATGAATGTGATGATGAAATCAATTCGGTAGATGTATTGTATGTGCAATGTGCTCACCTCATCAGACACTGCAAATACATACTGTAAAAGCACTAATTTAAAAGTGAAAATTGAAGTTTATTGACATCCAAAAACAGTAGTAGAAAAAAAATACATAAGCATATAATATATTAATTCAATGGGGGAGAAAGGGGATGTAGTACACAGCTAAAATGAGAATTCATTCTCCTTCAATGCACTAGCTTAGAGAACTGGTAGTCTTCTGTATGTACATTGATACACTGTGCAGCTATCTGTCCTAGCAGTTTGTTCAATAAAAGTTTGCAATCTATAAAAATCAGACACCAAGAAAGTGCTCTTTAAATGCTCCCTAATTGGCAAAAGAATAACCATCATGTTGCTCTGAATCTTGTCTGATCTCCAAGTAAAATATATATATATATATATATATATATATATATATATATATATATATATATATATATATATATATATATATATATATATATATATATTTCCCCATCACGCTCTTTGCATGTAGATCACACAAAATGATAATGATAAAAACACCGATACTGTAAAATAATTTTGGTAAGCATGCAGAATGCGACTGCCTCCTGCATAGTATGAGATTAAGGAATACTTCTCCATATCAATAGCTATTCAACAGAAATATTTCCATACCAAAAAACAAAGGAAGTTGTAAGAAAATTCCTTAAAAAGAAGCCTGAGCATTTTACCGGAGATCATTTGAATTGAAGGTGGCAAAAATGTGAAGAGAATCAACCAACAATCCAACATAAGGCAACTACAGGCACCAATCAAACAATGTCCACGGTGCACATCAATATGGCAATATTTTCTTTCCGACACCGAACTCAATGCAGACTCTTGCCCTCTTGGACAGGTTTTAACCCGACCTAAGTAAATTAATTACCCTTTCCCCAAAACAGAAGCTCTTCCTCAACTGTATAGATATCAGCCATGCCAAAATATATCTGGCTCACATTCATAACCACTTATATCAGGCAGAAGAGCTAACCAATATTAAGATTGCTCTGGTATCTGAAACTGGTTCAGCCTGCTAAACCAGAGTGAATGCAGAATCATATGGAATAAATCAAATCTAGTTGGTCTTGAGTTCCAGAGGAAATGCTTCTGCAACTTTTTGATATTAGTCTGCATGGTAAGATATTGTCTCACTGGAATAGCTAATAGAATCTCTTTCAGTTTTGGAATATCTTTCTCGGCAACACGCACTGAAAATGCACTCCAGTTAAGTACTTCATTGAATGGAAGGGAAAAATTATCAGCAATTATCACCGGGACACACTCGTAATATATTGCCTCAACAACCCTCGGGCTATTCACTTCAAAACCCATAGGACATATGCAATATTTACTTGATTTCATATGTTCAGCATAATTCATTATCTTTGACACTCTGTTAGGTAAAGCTGCATATATCCTCATGTCTTCATCTTTATCACTCCAGTACTTTATAAGTCTGGGACGAACCCTGCCATGCGTGCGTCCAGCAAAAAAGGCAAGGATCGGGCGTTGTGACACTCTTTTTCCACCAACATTCCTGAGAGGCCTTTTGGGATTCCTTATGGTGGTTTCTGGCAAGGAAACATCCTTCCCAGCAACAAATATTCCTTCAGAAAGATCTGCGTTACAGAGAGCTTTTATTGTATTTTTAAGGAGCTCCTCATGATCCGTCAAAGTATAAGGCCCCTGCAAGAATGCACAGAAAATTTTTAAAGAGAGAGAGAGAGAATGAATTAGTATTGTGCACATCTCTGAGTTTTATATGTGTGTATATATGATGTAGTTAGCACTTAGCATACCCAATCATGGCAAGCTACCAGAAAGTGATCTGATCCACGAGTGTGGTTCCAGAAAGGATACTTTGCAGCAAGCATGTTCACATGATCCCGTAGAAATAATGACAAAGGCCTAAGGTTATGTGAGTTACGAACATAAAGTGCTCTCTGCAACTGCTTTGCACTGTATGGAATATAGAATAGGTGAGCCTTTTTCGGGTCCTTTGTAACAAATTGCCTGTTTTCCTCCATATGTTTCATGAACCATCCCTCAGATGAATAAATTCCTCGAAGATAAGGTACATGGAAAATAGGCCTCTTTCCTTCTTGGTAAATGTAAACTCTAAGTATAAGCTCCATTAACTCATAGCTCCTGGAAGTCAAACCGAATAGATATTTACAGACATCAATATTCTGAAATAGACAAATAATGTATTTAGTAGAGGTTAAAACTCACTTGAATTAGTGGTGAAATACATATTCATTAGTATTATAAAACTTCAGACACGTGAAGAAATATGCGTAGATTATTTTAGTTAGACAGAAAATCAAAGAGACCTGCAGCAACTTCCTTATAGTGAAGTACGTGCATGACTAAAATCACGATTTACTGGATAGCTAGGAACATGTAAACTATGTTTCTTACTTGTAGTTGAGATATCTCATTTTGCATTCAAACTACTTGATAGAAATTACTTAATATGGTGTGAGGCAAAAGAAATCTCCTAATATGCATCTTTTGCTGATAGACCTAAAACACATATTACAGTCTTTTTAAAGAGGAAACTTTATCAAAAGTAATTAAGAAGTTCAAACTCAATTTTGTATCAACAATTTGATAGGCACACCAACTAAAATACTATAACGAATGCTGGGATAAACAGGCATCAAGCTAGTGTTATATAACTCTTTAAAAGAAGCTTAGAACAGATTCCAGTCACTATAAGAATAATTCAACTTGTTAAAATGCTATGGGCAAAAAGATATAAGATACGTGAGAGTGGTAAAACACAAATTCCATTATTGATGAAATATGGATACTTAAATCTGTTAAAGCCATCTATTAATAGTACAACATTGTAATCAAATATATGAAATTACAATACAAACGCTATAAATCATACCTCTTAAATATAGAAACATTCCTGAATAGAGGGACATACAAGTCTGGATCATCAACAACGAATGGGGCTTTCTCAATCTCCTTTTTAGCATATGCAAGTCCCTCATCAGGTGACAATGACTCAATATATCTCTGCACAACTTAAATTTACATTTCAAAAGGAATAACATTATAATGCGAAACTTTAGGAAAAACGAAATACAAACATACAAGTTTCCATTAGCATAGCCAGAACGATCGCAAACGTACCAGCAGGTGATTAGACACATTTCTACCAGGAAGTAAAGGTGCAGAAGGAGGCTCTCTTGTTCGCTTTCTTACACGAGCGGTCTTTTTTGCTATTGTCGAAGATTTCTTTAATGGAACCTGATCAGCAGAATAATTCTGTGGAACAACTGACTGGAAATGTTGAATAACCTCCAAATGGTCAATCTTTCCCAGATGAATATTTATATTTTCCTCCAAATGCCTCTCAAGGTTCAAGTTCTTAGTGGGTGAAACTTCCACTAGAGGGTGGAACCACCACCCTGTCAATGGGTAAGAAAGCGTATAAATTTGAAATAGGGCACTAACAACTGTTAGAATAGCACCAACAAAAAGTAGCCTTCTTGAGTAGATTTTGAACAGCAGAACAACAACAGTAGTCCCCAACGACTTCCTCATCATTTCATCCAAAAAAATCTCCCACGTGTGCTATGAAATGCCAACCTTCGCAATAAAATAAAACACAAATTCAAATTAACTCTCAGCCCATTAGGAAGCATAATAAAGCTATACCATTCTTCTAACATATTCCAGCACTTGTCAGTGCCTCAAACTAAAAAATCGTCCATAACATTAATGATTTCCATCTACAAAGTAATCATACAAAAGCATCCCAAATCTGAAACTAAGATCCTCACCCCCACTCTTCAAAAAATACCATTGTGAGTTGTATAAAGTAACCAGCTAACCTGAAACCATCTATTAATGAAACATGAATAATAAATACGGAGAAATACAGAGAAACAACCCAGCTGTTTGATTCTCAGTTTAGTGCAAAGTTAATAGTAATACTAAAGGGAAGGGAAAAGCATCTACATATTTAAGTATATATGTATATTCAATGCCAATGTCGTCGGAATCAACATAAACCAATTACAATTAATGAACACAAACTATTGCGAGGTAATATGTAATTAAGTATGCTCTGCAAGGAAAATCTGTAAAATGTATATGAAAAGGGAGTCTGCGCGGTAATTGTACCTTTGGATTGTTGCTAAAACGATATTGCGGGAGAGGAAAATTGAGGAAAGTGAAGTGGAAGAGAAAGAGGAAAACGGTTGAATTGTTGATGATGATGGCGAAATGGGAATGTGTGGAACAAATTGAAGAATACGAAAACGGAGGGAAATACTCCGCTGCCGTTTTCGTACGTTTTATATGCCTTCCCGATCAACATTAATCCTCCGCTGGATCGAGAATGGGGATGCATGGAAGAAAGAAAACGGAAACGGAGGGAAATGCTCCGCCGTCGTTTTCGTACGTTTTATAGACCTCCGGTGAGCAGTTATCGTCCGGACGATGACGAACGATGACGATGGTGATGAGGATGCATTGAAAAAGAAAACGGAAACGGTGGGAAATGCTCCGCCGCCGTTTCCGTACGTTTTATACACTTTCCGATCAACAGTAATCGTCCGGCAGATTGCAAACGATGACTACGGCAATGCCAAGGAATGTGTGAAAACCGGAGGGAAAATGCTCCGCTTGACCGCTGTTATATATACCGTTGGACCGTATTCATCAATTCCATCTGACGTGGCAAAATAATATTTCTAAAGTATTATTTACCGTTCAAATAGCATATATAATTGTAACGAGTAAAAAAAAAACATGTTTCTAAAATTTTCATAAGAAATATTACAAAAATAATAATTGTAGGATTATGAGGGGAAAATATCTAAATGGGAGGAAAAGAGTGATCGAATAAGTGTAGCATAATTCTTTGTAGAGTTAATTTCAGTAATAGTTCTTCGATTATTGTGATTTTTCAAATTTGGTCTTCGTTTTTTAATTTGGACGAAATAAACCCTTGACTATCAGAATAGTTCCACCATTGGTCCTTTCGTGAACTTGGCATTGGATAGACGTTAAGGGGTAAAAGGGGCATTTCCATAACTAGGTCTCTTCTTCTCTTTCCTGTTCGACGAGTTATTTCCAAAATCCCCAATTGTCTAAACCATTTTTCTTAACCCTAATATAGCGAGAACAGATTGTGTGGTCTCAATCCTCGTACTAGGACTTCAAGAACGAAGTAATACGAAGCCGAAAGTAGCAAGAACAGATTGTGAGGTGATGGATCCGACAGGAAAGAGTCACAATACTGGTCCACCATGTATGTACTTAATTTGTTGCACTGCATTTTGTGTTTTTGTCGAGCTTTAGGAGAATAAAAAGATAAAAGTGAGGATCAAATATGGAGTTTATGTTGTACGTGTTCTTTATTATATAGTGTTTTGCATATATATATATATATATATATATATATATATATATATATATATATATATATATATATATATATATATTATTTGCAGATTGAAAGTTTGGAATGGTAACTAACTCACCATAGATGTATTCTTGATTCCTTGAAGATGAAGAGCTTTCACTAGAATATCTTGTAGACATTTCAATAATCCAGAAGCAATAGAGTGCCAGGGAGTCGTTGTCAAGAAAGCTCACTGCGTGTATGGAGGAACCACCCTATATAAACCTAAGCTAGATGAGCAAGAAGAGAAACAATGGAGTTTTGGGGTCTCTATTGCGTGTAATGTATATATACTCGACCAACATCAGGAAGAAGAAACCCAACAGAGGAAATGACCCTTTAAGCCCTTCACTAACGTCTATCTAACTCTTGGTTAACTGAAGGACCAATGGTGGAACAATTCTTATAGTCAAGGGTTTATTTCGTCCAAATTAAAAGACAATGACCAAATTTGAAAATCACAATAGTCAGAGGACTATTGCTGGAATTAACTCTTCTTTATATTTGAACATTACAAATTTAATATTTGTCAACACTTTCTCGATCAAGTCTATCAAAAAGAAAAGATTGAGCTATGTCGTATGCATCTCTTTGATATGGACCCCCATCTCTTTGGTATGGACCAAAATAAATTTTTATCCGTAACCAAAATGTTAGGCAAATTATTATGTGGACCCAGGTCCAAAACAACGTTGTTTTACTTCAAAACAACGCCATCTTAGTGTTTTTTTTTTTTTTTTTTTTTTTAAATTCACTTTTACTTTTTTTAAACGACATTAAATCTTGTTTCGTTCCTTTTCTTCATCCCTAACTTCTCTTCGCATCTCTTTTTTTTTTTTATTTTTTATCTTCTTCTTCTTATTTTGAATTTTGATTTCGTTGATGGAGGAGACAACAGATCAGACAGATTTAATCATTGATGGCTCATCTTCAATTCTAAATTTTTTTATGGTTTTTACAGTCAATTAGTAATTCATGTTAATTATGGTTTTTCTGGTTTTTGGCACGTATGAAGATGAATTATCAATTTGATTTTGTTTTTGTGATGTTAGTGCGAGGAATTTGCTGTTAGAATTATGATTTATTCATGTTCGTATTTTCAATTCTTGAATTTGTGATTTGCATTGATTATTGACAATGTATGTGATTTTGTTTAATTTTTATTGACGATTTGTTGACAAAATTATATGTTCACAATTATTTTGTTAAACACAGTTTGCAAATTCAATGTTCAGAATTTTCGAACTGACTGTTCACAATTTTCGAACTCAATATTCTTATGGGTTTTGTAACACCCCCGGTTATAAACATAACTTTAAGCATTAAACTTAACAAAGATGGGTAAATAGAGTCTAAAATTGATATTAAGGTGCGAAAGCAAAACAATTTAAACGGGGTGTGATGCAAACTTAGGTCAACAAGCCTAAGTCCTAAGGCCAAAACTAAACCAAATTCAAAACATAATTCTGACATCAAAGGGTTCAACTACATCCCAACAAAACAACATAGTCTAGAGGAAACTAAAACAACGACTAGCTAAAGTAGGAGAGCTAAACATCATGCTAAGCGCGCTCGGATAAGGTCCTAACTCCATACCTGAAAACATTTTAAAGGAATTATCGGGAATGCTAAGTAACACCACTCCAATATGTAAAGCTATGTAAGTATACTTTTCATAACCAAAATAGGTTTTGGTACTTGGGGATACATATGTATATATTACTAGTCAACTCTAATTCAGTAAATAATAAAGAATAGAATCAAGTCAAGATCAACTCAAGAGATATATACAATGACATGACTCGGTTCATCAATCAAACTCAAACTCAAAGACATGACAAAATACAATAAGGATTCCAACAACGAGACTGATTCAATAGGATAACAATATCAAGTTATGAATGACAAGAAATGTAGATCAATTCACATAATCCAAGTATAGAACAATTCTCAAGTTCTCACAAGGACAACAACATCTCAAATATCGCGGAGTCAACCTCAATGACTCGAATACCATCCATTATATCGCGGAGTCAATCTCAATGACTCAAATACCAGTGAATCAGTGTGGAGGGCTCCCAGACAGCAATTAATGTCACCAAGTGACCAATCAATCAATCAATATCTCAATAACAATCAACCTAATGGAGGCAGTTCTGCTCCTTAAGGGCATCCCCAATAAGGGGATTATGCACATGTTTTAATAAAAAGTTGCTAAAATGGAAGGGTATAATGAGGAGAGAGAAGAACTCAGTGCATTATGTTAATTAGGGGGTTTTTCAGAATAGTGGGACCCACACCAATTTATAGCTACTTTCACGCTTCACGCGTGAAGCTTACAATTGCGCCCAGCGCGTTGCTGGCCGGTCTTTCACCTTTTTTTTTTTTTTTGAAAATCAGCATTTGTTTTTTTTCTTTCCTTCTCTTTCCTACCATCTTCTCTTTCCTAATCACACTTACAAAAACTCCTCAAAAACCACAATAAAATCCCCACTATTGAGGATGCTCTAAGTGTATACAACCTTATTGGGATCTCTAGGTCCCAATAAGTAGAACTAGATCTGACAACACATGATACGTTTCGACCAGGTTGCCCGCAAATCAATAATCAAATCAAATCAACTAAGTCTACACACTGTCCACTTTGCCAGCATAACGAATCTCAACAAGGATTCAATTCAACAAAGGAATCTCACGAAGCGAAGGCAATAAAACGGATTAAAAAAAAAAGAGTACAACAACAGATAATCTCAAGGAAAATAACTCAATATCAACGGATTCCAAAGAAAGGATACAACAAGGATATATTCTCAAAGCAATAGATCAATATCGACAGATTCCAAAGAAAGGATACAACAATGACAAATAAGCTCAAGTCAACAACTCAACAAGAATAAAGGCAAAGGATATCAAAAGGAACATATTGGCATGCAAGTCGGTAGAAAGCTCACAAGGATTCTTGCGAAAGAAATACGAAGGATTCATGATATAGATTTCAACAATAACTCAATTGAATATCAAGATTGAATCTTTACAAAGAATCAAGGCTCAAAACATAATCAATAGACTCATAACACATAGCTATAGACCCGAATAGCATAAACAAATAGTCAAAAGTGCACGGGAAACAACAAAACAATTCAAGAGGCAAAAGCAAAATGAACTAGCGGGTGGGTTCAGTGGGGGACAGATGCCTGCCGAACACCTGCCGAATTAGCAGCGGTAGTGACGGAGGGTTGGAGAAGAAGATGGAGGGCGAGAAGATTAGGGAGAAGAGAGTTGACTGTGTTGATGAAAAAAAAGAAAGGAAAAAAAATCAATGTCAGCAAATTATCACCTGTATCATATAGGTATTCTGTTAAAAGTTCTAGATGGAAAAAAGTAATTGATTTGTGGATCGAACTGGATGTTATGAAAGGTCAAGGTGCGGCATGAAGAATCGGTTATAGTTCATGGTGGGATGACATTTTAGTCAAAATATTACCTTTCAGCGATTATAGTGATAGCGTGCTGATAACATGTTGTAGTTTGTTATGCCCGTTGGCCGTTAGCTCCTAACTGATGAACTTTGCAGGATAGACAATATTGAAATATAAGATATACAAGAAAGTGGAAGATGCTGAAAATAAAAGACAAAAGATCAGGAAATCTAAAAAAATCATTATCATTTAATCCTCATCATGTCCATAAAAACTTTATAAAAGAATTCTAATTTTACTATGTATATAACGAAAGTTTTATTCCTTAAAAATCCATATATCATTTCCTTAAGATTTTCTAAGCTCTCATGCTTCTTTTTGTGGGAAAGAATCCCTAGTTTGAGTCCTCAAATTTCATATCAAAGATTTGTGGTAAATTATGCCGTTAGCACGTGCTCACATTGTAAGGTGGACTCAATTTCATATTCATAATTTTTATATTGTAGATTCATAATTTTTATATTGTAAATTCATAATTTTTATACTTTAGATTTCAATTGTTGAACTCTGTTTTCACAAATCAGAGAATTATATGTTCATAATTTGATAACTATACAGTTTAGAAATTATGAATTTACAATACAAAAATTATGAATTTACAGTATAGATATTATGAATCTACTGTATAAAAATTATGAATCTATTGTATTTAAATTATGAATCTACGGTTTATAAATTATGAATCTAAAGTATAAATTTTA